AATATATTTAAGCACTGAAAAATATCAATACTGACAATGAACAGGCCATGAGTACAGGAGCTTATCCAGGGGGGGTCATAGGGTGCCCATAACCCCCCCTTTCGAAGCCAAAAAAGCGCCAATGAAAACYCTGGATACGCCCCTGAAGTATATTGCTGACAGTTGATATCAATGTCTTCTCATGTTTCTGCTTCAGCCGCAAGAACCCCTTCGAACTTATTGTTGCTCTGTCAGGACAAGATGGCGTACCAGCAAAGGGAGAGGTTTTCATAGATGATGGGGAATCTCTTGGTAAGACCAAAGCATAAAGTGRACGGTATAAATGATCATCTCACAATTGGATGTTTCTCTTTTTCAGGCCCTGTCACAAAAGCTCCATACCTTCACGTCGATTTTGTAGCAGACGTACGTATAGCTATGTTGTCTTTTTGACATGGCAAATCCCTTGCATCCCTTTGTCTCCAAGCTTAAATGGAGCTTATAGCATCACATGCTTGTTTGCTGTAGAATTGTTTGCTCGCTACGTTCCTTTGCTTTGTGGCCTCCTTGTGTACTTGCTCATTTGCTTGCTTACTCACTGGTTTGCTTCCTGTCTGCCTGGTTGGTTGGTTGGTTGGTTGCTCTGCTTTCTTGCTTGCTTGCTGTTCTAACTTGCTTATACTTGCTTGGTTTATTTGCTTCCATGTTTGCTGTGTCTCCTTAATGTAGATTTTTGTTTAACCATAGCATGCACTACATTCATCTGTGGACCCTAAGAGTTCCTACACGCCTGAAGCTAAACTCGCCAATATAACTTTCTACGGATTTGGACATAAACCCTCTAGYGTGACGGTGAATGGTCACGCAATCTCTACGTACACATATGATGACGGGCTCAAGGTAATTTTCTGAAGGTTAACAGTGCTAGTTCTACATCTAAACTTGCTTACTCGATTTTACTGTTGCAGGTGCTCAAGATAACTGGATTACAGCTCTCTCTTGATCAGCCATTTAATGTCACTTACGATTAATAACAAGATATATTTTTGTAATTGAAGCGGGTTAATTTTTTATTAGAATATAAGCAATATATCGGTGCGCATAAACTGGTTTTGTGTTTTCTAATGACSGCAYGAACACTGCAACCTCGTTAATCYGTCCACCGAGTGGACACTGAAAAGTGGCCGGATTAATTGGGTAGAAAAGTATGGGGGTTTAGTTTGCTGGGAACTAAAAACTTCGCCGTTAATGTGATGGTGTTGAAAGACGTTTATAGCAATTTATCACACAAACACCTTGTTGTTTTTTAAAGATTCTTATTTCAATAAATACATATAATACTATTAGTAATGCAAACAAACACCTGTTTGCAAAAGTGATAAAGTGTGAAAGTAAATCTGATTATGAAAAACTCTGAAAAATCCGTGAAAAAATGAAATATAAGACTAAAGAAGGTCACATGGAAAGAAACAAGTGAAAGAGTCTTGGCRTTCRAGAMGAGAATGCATCGCTACAATATTTAATTTACTTGCAGCATTCGGCTCAATTAAACGCAGACGTATTTTTGTGRACTATCACAATYCCACAATTCCCATTCGCCAGTTGYAGAGWACATTACACCACAGTAAGCATCAGCCGCCGGCGTTGAGGTCTTCCAATTATGGTAATCCACTGGTGTTCCGTCTGACCAGGAATATGCTCCCGAAGCAGCCTTTCCAATTCCAATCCACATCATCGGAGAGAAGGTGCCAAACGAAAAGAGTTTCAAGACTTTTTCGTTGTCCTCCTTACTGTGAATGGAAGGTAAGTGGGCGTTCTTGTGCTTGCAGTTTTCGCTTCCTTGATACCAGGATGATATCCCACTTTCAATACCAGCTATATATGTGTTAATAATAATCAAAAAATAGTATTACGATTTACWTGGTTTTATTTATCGGAAATAAGCATGCGAAATCAGGAAAGGTTTTCAATAGAGATTYTGCAATACTTACTATATTGAGAACGAGGTGACGTTGTTGGAATTACTGAAAGTACAACAAAGGGTTGTTACATATAAACATTGTTGTTCAAGGAGTTGTCAGTCGCACATATCTTYTTTTGGTAGGTTAGACACCTCTTGATTTCACATCTGACAATTTGCGTAAATCTAGTCATAATTTTTCACCAAATGAAATTACATGGTTGTCCCTTATTTCTTCTAATGTAATTATTCTATACCTGCTGTTTCACATCGATCTCCAGTAAATCCTGGCCTGCATTCACACTGATAAGTGCTCTCCAACCAATTCACCCTACACACTTGGAACGATAAACACGAGCACTTGTTCTGAAAAGTAAGGAAAATAAGCAGAGCTTAGTTAATTTTCATTGCGCAGATAAAATTGAGAATTGCCCAGATTTTCATTGAACGTCAACTTAAGTTTTCTGCAAAATTTACTTTTGTTCTTAAAACAATTGTAGTCACACGCAYGGAGCTAATATTCCCCGCAGACATTTGATAACTGGCATGTGCAAAATTTGCGTCCGACTTGTATGTTAACGCTCGACATTGTGACCTGAGTATCACTTACCTCTGCACGTCGATAAACTGTCCTTTTTCGACCAATTAGATCCTTAGGATGCATCACGTGGTCCGAATGGCTTAATTCGCACGTATTTGGTCGTTTGGTCTTTGCGTCCTCGCCAAAGTTGTACGATATRCATCGATTATCCTGAAAGCACTTGCTCTCACAGTGTGCATCGCTTGACGCCCACTCAGTCTTGAAAGTATGGTTTCTTAAAGCTTTGTTTTGAAATGTTTCTTTGTAGTCTTGCGTTTTGCATTTTTGACCAGATACTAGGATGAAAAAGCAATTAATAGTCCGACAGAGCTTTCCCCACGTATACAGCCAATTTTTCACAATATCCTATGCGCTCCCTAACTTTCCCAGCACCAATCAACTCCCTTGGACGAAAAAAAAAAACAAAAACGCTAGGTAACAGATGTATTAAGTGCATTAGGACTTCCGCCAAAGCAAATAGTAAATTTGTKGTGTTGTTCTGTAAAAAATCCTTTTCATGTTACATTGAAGACATAAACTGCAAAAATATCRATCGATTGGCCGGTTTTATCTTTGACTATATTTTACTCGGGCATGCTAGCTGAAGACACAAACACTAGTTTTCTTTTTACCATAACCAACACACAAACATCCGAGAGGTGTTTTCTGAKTCTTGAAAAAACGTCTTCTGGTTTCTCAACTGTCCTCAATTTCATCGATTAACTTTTTTATACTTTTATAAACTATTAGTCAATCGATCTTTATTAGTATAATGATATACAAAGCCTAATTCTCTCGAGAGTTTCTCGCAAAAGCGATGCTAGCGTACTTCAATTCATCAGACGCACTTAGTTAAGACCCAAATATACTGATTAAGCTGACTGCTGTCATAAAATAAGTATTTTTTTCTGTCCACATCAAAGTAAAAACTTCTATCCAAAACAATATACATATTTTTTTCCATTTATCTTCTTTTGAAAATCTCTTCTGCAAGTTCTACTCACCTTTCATATCAGCAACGTAAAACATACACCAGAAAACCGATGCTATCCGCAACATTTTTCAATGTAGTAGTTAACAGTTACTAAACGATCAGATATGGATTTTTTAATACGCGCATACTAAGTTGGGTGCTGAACTTGACAATTGAACTGACAGTCTTCATCGACACTAAACAATGAAGAYCGGCCAATCGTAGCCAAATGAAGACACAGCACGACTAGTGCCATGTATCCTAAATTAAAAATATCGATATGTTTGGAGTTTGTCCAAAAATATTTAATTGAATTAAAATGAAACTTCGAAAGTCTCCTCGAAAAAACATTAGAACTAACGTAGCCGGAAAGAAAGAAAATTTTTGAAATGGGTCATCGAGCTTTCGGATAAGCAGCACACTCGTGTTGTAAGGGAAAACGAAGTTGAAACAGTGGATTATTCACTTTCATTTCGCCCTAATTGTGGAAATAAAGAACATTTTASGTGGTTTAGAAACGTATATTTTCGCTTTTCGATAACTTATCTCACATACAGAAATGTTTTATAATTAGAAAATCGTAACATTTCGACTATCTATTTGTCTTCCTCCAAAAATCCTCCTTACACCTCTTGTGGATATATGTAAATGTAAACAAAATACAAATTTAACCCCACAAGCTTGAATTAACAAGAGCAATAATAAWGATTAAAGGGAGATCGAGGACCACCAGATGAATGATAATAGAACGCATTAAATATTAAGTGAAAAGTGCAGAAATGTTAATATCGGACATGGAAATTTCCTTGTTTTACTTGATTTTTCCAATTTTTAGGCTATGTTCATGAACTATTAAATTGCTTTTAGTTATTCTTCTTATTGATTGTTTCTTGTAAAACCGTGTAAATTTGATATCAAGTTAAATTTATGGTAAAATTAAACCGTGCTTTTAGCGTAGCGGGAGTGCAATTTGTAATATTTGATATCTTTCACTAAAAATGGCTTCCAATGATCACTATATCAACCAAAAGGGAAAACATTTTAATAATGAAAGTTTGAAAGCAGTTTAAAATGAATAGAATTTTCGAGAAAAGCCTTTTATTTTGAAAAGTTATTAAGGTTCAACATCACAGAAATGCGATTACAAATCAATGAAAATTCTTTTGGGCAAATCACGTTTTTTTTTGTGGGAATTATGATGGCAAAAAAAGTAAATTTCAAGCCCGCACAACTTATGAAACGATTTCAGGTTTAATTTTTCCGGCACACAAATAAAGAAGGAAGAAAACTTTACAAGCTTGTTTATGCATTGCTTTGTGTCATGACAAAACTCCCATAATGCCTGTTGGTCACACATTGTTTTTTTCCCTGATCATCAATGCTGATTGAAAACATTGTAGGCAATGGCAAAATCGTAATCATAATAAATGTAAATAAAAGGTAAATAAAGACAAAGAATCTTCTTGTTCCATCAAACTGACGACACAGCTGCCATATTTTCTTGGCTCTTGATGTTCCTCTGTTTAAGAAGAAAAAGATAGAGGTTTAGTGTGAATAATAGCTATAGCACTCGCCTGATTGGTCGGTTTTTGGTGGGATACCAACTTGGGGATAGTGCCGAATATACATGAAAAATTCATGATGTCGTTGCATATTGTATCACATCGAAACAATATGCACTACGACTAATAATGCAATACAATTGAGAACGATGTACGTRATATCTCTGTCTTTCGCCATTGTGCTCAGGTGGTACATAGCACCTCAACGATCGATGCAATATAGAATAGTCTAACAATACTTTTCAACTAACGCAGTAAAAGTTTTGATGACCTTGACCTTGCTACATCATTGCATTGTTACATAGGCGACATTTTTGTTCGTAAGTCATGCAGGAATGAATTCACAACTTACCTTTGAGGTTGCGCCGCAACAAAAGCATCTTGCCCTGCATGACAAGCAGGAAGCAAACAGTGAAAGAATTATGATCAARAAGGAGATAGCGATGATTGAAATCAAGACGACACTTTGACGTTCTTGCTCTTTCATGCACTTTTTAACTAAAGAGAWAATAGAAAAACATAGTAGCACTCAAGGATTGCACATGCGCAGTGATATTAACAGCACTGTATAAAGGCCCGTTTACACTTGCAATTTTTGCAGCGCGATTGTCGCGCGACAATCGCCTTATTTTCAAACATGCTTGAAATTTAGCTGCAACTCGCGGCGATTTTTGATCGCCGCGACAATCGCGGGAGCTGTTTACAAGTACGATTTGAGGTGCGAGAGAGAAAGTAGCGATTGTCGCGCGAACATCGCGCTGCAAAAATTGCAAGTGTAAACGGGCTTTAAGTGTTTTAAAAAGGTGAAAGCAACTTCGAGGACTTCACTGCGTTCGTGGGCTCAATTGAGCTTTGAACATTTTATCATGTCAGGAGTGTGTCAGTAAGAGGACATACAACCAAAAACCCTCCGCAATTTCTGAAATTCCTTCCCTTCAGCCTCCAGGAGCGTGGCGAAAAAATATCGAGTARCGACTGGTTAAGAGTTCGGCTAAATTCACCCCCAGTGTCTTCTCTGTCGCTATGTTCAAAATGGCTGACGCTCCAACAATGTACCGATGCCCATACTTACAGCCATCTTGACAATGACTTGCAAAAARGACAATTGAACCAATCAGCAAACAGATATAGGTAAATAACGTCAGTACAGAAGAAACCAGGTAAGTCAGCGTCTAGAGGTGTAATATCTCARTTAAAAACCACGGTTAATAATAACTTAAACTAATTAAATTAGCGAATTACACAGCTCATRAACTTACGATGCATTGTCCTTGCTGACAGCCACCAATAATTCCAATAACTCCACAGAATATTGCCTAAAAGCGTAATAATAGTATTGGACATTTTCTCCATTTGTTTTATATTATTTGATCCCAGGACACTTTYTCGACCCACATCACGGCAAGTGAAGGGTCATGGGATCGAGAAACTCGAAACTTATTTGAAGAAATGCGCGAGATTTTCCGTCTTCGCTGAATCGAGTACTATAACATACAATTGTCATTGCATCATTGTGACATATATATATATATATATACGTCATTTTTGACGGCAACTGAATTAATGTAAGATAAGAGTACAACGCGGAAGAAGGAAGTGTGTCAAGAAAATGAAATCTTAATGTCAGACTATACTTCAGTGTTAGAAAGTTCATTGTGTACATAGGTCACTGACATAGGATATATGGAAATGCATGCAATTCAATTAAAGAAAAGACAGTTTCTAAACATATTTAAGATCTGTCTTTCTTGATAATGAATCCAGGGAATTCACCATATCCACGAAACATCTTGCTTAAAAAATTACTGAAATTTGTAGATAACCCGTTAAACCCGTGAAACAAAACTACGAAGGAGTAGTAATCAAATAAATAGACACAAATGAAAACAATTGAATTAGAATTGTATTGTCGCAAATATCTATTTCACGGGTTTTTTACTTCTCTCAAGCACAAAAACCTATCGCTTTGTGTATAATTAGTTTAATTTTATGTGTAATTTCCTACTAAGTGTTTCACGGACGTAAGGAACTCACTGTTTCTTGCTTGAAATATAAACATAGTATAAAACTAAAAACTCACTAATGGTGACGCAATGAGAGTAGCAGACACRACCCAGTCGTAGTTGAACAAAGTAAAAGTAACCACGGCAGGAACAGMAGTACCATTGATCGAGTTGAGTTGCTTTATCTCCGCTAGTTCTCTCCAAAATACACCAACAAGGACGGCGAAAGTAATTCCAACGATTAATAAAACAATACCTGTGGTCAACGCTTGACATCGAAAGCCCATGGTGGAGAAATAATAATAATTCACGTTCTGCAGTCGCACTAATACTTTCGAACCAGTTTGCACTGCAACACTCGCTATTCCGGGCAGTCTCGAATATAATTAGTCCTCAATAGCAATAGCCTCGATCACTAAATTTATCTCAGATTGGGTTTCCTGGTCGAMGTAGAAGAGTTTCCGCACTGGCACGCTGTCCGTAATAGCGAGGGATCTAAGCGTAAGGCCATAGGAGCCGGGTACAGGAGTTGAGTGTTTATAATCTGCTTTAGGCCGGATTACTGAAAAAGCCAGTTACCGTCGAGCTGCACAAAGTATCCCATCCACTAACTTAATATAACCTCATATAGTTTAATTACTTTATTCAGAAATTTCTGATATAATAGCTAAGGATATAAAAACAAAGATTATCACTTTGAAGCTAAGGAAMTAAGGCGAATAAAAATGCTTAGATTTTTTAGGTTTCTTTTTGTGATCAAAAGAAAAGACATTTCGGTTTCGAAGTTCGTTTTTAGAATATTTTAACATTAATCTTGTCAGTCAATCATATTTAATACAGCGTCTCGTGATAATGATAAGTAATCCATTAATCCATGCAAACTGACAAAAAATAAAAAAATTATGTGCGATTATAAGACCGCCATCTTGAATATTTCAGTGTTTTCATTAAGAATTTCATAGTTAGTATGAGAAATTCTAGAATTTTCTCAGTTGTCACTAAAACAAATTATATTTACAGACTGATGATATATAAATTTAATGTCTAACTATATTTAAGTTAAATATTATCATCTATCAACTTGACAGCCGAATAATACCTCAGTAACCTCCCCTAAATTTGGGAACAGAAAAGACTGGAGATGAATCMTCATTGACAGTGAACAACTCCCAATTCTGATTTAAAGAGGGTCTCAAAGGTGTTAACCGCCAACCGTCATATGGACAAAATTTTAAACCGCCAACCGTCAAATCGCTGCCGTTTTTTAACTGTCAACCGTCAAAAGGACACCCCATTCCAGAGCCTCTTCAAAAACTGGAAAAATGGGATATTCTAATAACATAATAAAGTTCGCTGTTTTAATGATATACAGAGAAAAATTCCTAAAASGTTTTTAAAACAGACGACTCTAGTCACCACTCCCTCCTCGGGCTTCAATTAATAGTAGCCAACATTCGTTGAGCTCATGGGCAAAATGTTTGTGCGTCCGCGTACGGAGTTGACGTTGTAGTTTCTGTCCTATAAAATCAAAGAAAAAAAAAGCACGTTGAGAATAATAAAACTATATTTTATTATGATAATATATTCTTTAAAATTATCACATGCATGGGTGCACGGAGATGTGGATTTTATCTAGCCTCTTCCGCAGGCATCTCTCTCATACTCTGGAAGTCTGGGAACAAATATACAAGAGACGAAGGGATGGGGGGTGGGGGAAAAAAAGGAAGGAGAGATGGCAACTCCTCCTATTTCTTCTCTCGCCCTCAGTCTCCCCACCTCTCACCAAAGGAAGCCCAACCGCTCGTAAATTAAAAGAATAGGAGACTGATTTTATCAGTCTTTGGGTGTTAAAAAGATCCTTCACGAGTAGTCGGCGTCGCGAATACTACAATGCAARTTTCGAAAGTGAGAATTAAGTGTCTGGATATTTCATGGATAATCTTATTATAAAGAACTTGTTTGCTTCAGGTTTATAAACGACTTTCAAAATGGCGGTAGTCCACGACCAACAATATCGGGGGACAAGTGACGAATCATGGAAACGAGATCTCGAATGCCTTACATCGAAAATCTCACAAAAACTAGAAACATGCACGCACTGACTCGAGTATATACATAGCATACCTCTGCTCCACAGCAGTAGCACTTATCCTTACACGACGCCCACGATCCAAACACCGACATAACGATAACAACAAATGTACCTCCGATAATACTAAAGAGAGCTATGTAATAGTCTCTCTCCGTTGATGTCATGCACTTGTCGACTGAACAAGAACAACAGAAG